CAAGATTGCTTAGGCTTGGGATGTGTTGCCGAGTCGGAGCGAGAAGGAGCAAAGATCATTCTCTTTCTCGCTCAGCGGAGCTGATGGTAGTCGAGCTGGGCGTCACACGGATAGTAGGCCAGTGGCTATGTGTGTGAGCTATTTCACTTTGCTTCTTCACAGGGCAGCACACGTCGACTTTCGCCCGGTGGCCGCTCGAGTTAATGCTTATACTTACAATTGCCAACTTCAGTAAAAATTTGCTAGCGACAACTGAAACGTGTCAATTCATGTTTTATCATATAGAGTAAACTATTGATGTTACTCCAGCAACATCTCAAATATACTGCAATTGTAATGTATCGGTAATAATAGATTATATACGTATAAGTAATATAACATGCGCTACATCACACCAAGAGTACAGTTGTAATATTTATGTAATATCCTTCGAGTTATAACTGTGTTATATTACATTTTTAAATAACTGTTATAAGTTATATACATAACGAAGATATATAACATTGTTCTATTACAGTGCTCTCAAGATTATGTAACACTTATATCTTATTTACATTACTGTGCAATATAACATTGTGCTCTTTATGTAATCCCTATGTTATATAACAGTTACGTGTTGGTTTGCTGGGTATATATATATATATATATATAGATATAGATGTAACATTACTTTTATTTTTAATATTATTTACTTTTACTTTTACTATTATTTTTAATTGTTTTTTTATTATTAAATAGCGCGCGCCTGTATTGTTTTATTAAATAAAATAGGCTGTATATAGACGTCGAAATAATAAATAAGACAAATAAAAAATAAATGATAATAAGGGAGTGGGAGAGAGAAAGACAAAGACAGAGACACATTGAGAGGGAAGGTAGGAGGGAGAGAGAGAGGTAGGAAGAAAGAAAAAGAGAGAGAGTAAATATCTTTGTTTCCGTTTCTCTCTCTCTTTCTAATAAAATTTATATTATAATAAACTTTTTAATAAAATTGTAATTGTATATATATATATATATATATATATATATATATATATATATATATATATA